CCCTAAACCCCTAAACCCCTGAAGAGAAGCCCTCAAGCCTTAAACTACAAACCTGAAACGCTAGCAGGGTTGAGGGTGTAGGGTTTAGAGTTTAGGGTTTAGGGTTTAGGGTATAGGGTGTAGGGTTTAGCGTACAGGGTTTAGGGTATAGGGTGTAGGGTTTAGGGTTTAGGGTTTAGGGTTAAAGCTCTAAACAAACGAGCCCTAAACCCCAAAGCCGTAAGCCCTGAACCCCAAAACCCTCAAACCGCCATTCGAATTTTGGTCCGTAGGGCTGAACTTTCCAGGCGCAGCTGGAGGCTCAAAGGAGCAAGTAAGCAAGTTGGAGGCAGAGTTACTTGGAGGATCATGAGAGTTGGTAAGTAAAGTTATAAGTACCTTGATTGGGGGGTAGAAGTAGCTATAAGTGATAAGTCTCGCTACCTTAATTATATCCCCATAGCTATGCAGTCCCATGATCCTTTAAATATGAGTGCACTGAATGGTTTAGGTTTGTGATACCTCTGTCCTGCTTGCAGCCTAACATGGGGGTTCGGAATGGCAAATAATATTTTATCACTACAAACCCAAACCGCCATTCTGGTTACGAAAACCCCTAAAATACGCACTATGTCACCTAACAAGGCCCCTGCAATACTCCCTATGTCTCATGGTCCTTTCAGTAGACACCAGGCTTTGGAGTGCCGGAGTGAGACGGAGGCAGCCTCTCTCGTAAAGCTGAGTCATAAACTAGATGTGCGGTAGAGCCTACAGAGGTACCTGTTCCTGAATATGTAATTTTGGGACATCAAGGACGTACCTAAACCCTCAAAAGTAGGTGAAATAATGGCCCAAGACCCAGAAACGACTATTATTCTACATACTTTTTGGGGTCCAGGTACTACCCAGCTAGTAAAACCCGCGCCCTAGGTTCGAAGCCCTTGAAAGTCCTTTGAAGAGCCTCAGACCCGAGGCCCCGAAAGCTGAAACCCTCAATCCTAAACCCCACCTGGACCCCAAAAGTATGCAGGAGAATCGCCCTTTATGGGTCTTGGGCCATTATTTCACCTACTTTTGAGGGTTTAGGTAAACCCGAAACCCTAAACCTCAAACACGCGGTAAATCTTAAACCCGAAAGCCCTGGATGCCTTGAGAAGCAGTCGCTAAAGATCCCTGGTTTAGGCTTTTTTAGGACCCTCACAGGGTCCTATGGGGGTCCTTATTATAATGACAGCATCATATACCCCAAAACCCTATTCTCATTAAGGCCTCTATATTGCGGTCTAGGTCTAGAGCCGCTGGTCGAGGTGCTCTTTGGACCCAAGTCGGTAAGCAAGTCCACCAGCGTTGGTGAGCTGATAGAGACCCTCCTCCAGGCCTGCAGCGGTTTAGAGTTTACAGGGGTTACAGTAGGGTTCAGTGTGCGTAGGCTAAAGACTCGACCCTGCAGCTTAAACTTTATAGATCCTACAACAATGATGGGCTGACGCCTGCATCCTAGACACTAGACATCCTGGCTTGATTCGCGATTTGGTCTTCATTTAGCTTTCACGGTTATAGTATGATCTTTGAGAGCCCTAACCTACTCGGAGGATCATGGGACTTAGTAAGTAAGGTTATAAGTCCCTTAACTGTGGTTACAAGTATAGTTACTTTAGTTATAACCCTACTTACTAAGTCCCATGATCCTTTAAGTAGACCCTGAAGACCGCAAAGTCCCGACACTTTTGGTGCCCTGTCGGCTCATGTAAAGCCTGGCAACCACTGGGCCATGTAAACCCCAAACCCTAATTTACTAAAAGCTCCCACTCCATCACTATAGCTCTCCTCTTGAGCCCATCTTCCCTTCTTGGTGGTCCTAGGTTCCTGAGAAAAGAACCCAGTACCAAAATGTGACCCCTTTTGATTGTAGGGGGAGGCTTCCCGAGCCTTATAGTTTTCTAAACGATGGTCCCTGTTTGGGTCCTTTTATAAGGGCGTCGTACTATTTTCTAAAAGGGCTCCATTTTAATAGGGATGTATGGTATAGAGATTCATGCGGCATGCAGTTTTACGCCTTGGGCTCCCTGCAGCAGGACGTATAATGGAATCAAACTCACGAAATCTAAACACCACGGGGCACTCCAGGCCATGGTTGTTCGACATGATTTGCAAGATATCACTCGACCCAGACCCTAATAACCCAGAGCCCTACACCCCAACCTCACCTTAAATGAAGCAACCCTACGCCCTTCATCCTGAACACTAAACCCGAAACCCCTACCAGTTACCCCTAAACGCCAATCCCTAGATAACCCTAACCCCCCCAAAAAAAAATACAAAACCCCTAAACCTTCCCTAAGGGTCCATGCCCAATCCCTAGAAAACCCTAACCCCCCCCCCCTCAAAAAAAACTAAACCTTCCCTAAGGGTCCATGTGCCCATATAGTAGATACTTTGTGGCCCCAAAGTACCCACATAGCGACTACTTTACGACCAAGGTATATACTATTTAGGTGCATGGACCCTTAGGGCTTGTAACCCAAAAAACGAAACCCTCAACGCTAACCGTAAAGCCTCAACCCCCAATTCTCATGCCTGAGTCGTGCACCCTGAACCTTGGACCCAAAAGCCCTAAACCCTGCCTTACTTGGAGGTTCATGGGACTTAGTAAGTTCGGTTATAAGTCCCTGAATTGGGGTATAAGTAAATATAAGTATAGTTACCTCAGCTGTATCCCTACTTACTAAGTCCCATGATCCTTTAAGTAAGCCCAAATACCCTACCTTTTTAAGGGCTTATATAGGGAAAGCATAGTAAGGAACCCTAAACAGGTAGGTTGCTTAGGGTCCAGGTAAACCCCAAACTCTCAACCCTAGCCGTAAAACGCTCAGACCCCAAACTCGGGTTTAGGGTTTAGGGGTTTAGGGTTTGGGGATGTAGGGTTTAGGGTTTAGGGTGTAGAGGGGTATTAGGGTTTAGGGTCCAGGGGTTTGGGGTTTATTCCTTCAGCCCTGAACCTGCGCTTTTGCCCAGGGATGAAACCCGTTACAGAACCCCGACAGATGCCTTTGAAGGATCCCTTGTAGACACTACAAATGCCTTTAAAGAAGCTCTTATAGACAGTTGCATAGACCCTACAGATGCCTTTAAAGGAGCCTTGATAGACCCTTTCGTCTACCTCTCAAGTGAAGGAACCCTTATCGATCCCGTTAAGGGAACCCCAAACTCTGCCTTTAATACGAAGGCCCAAATAATTACCAAAACTATTTAGGGGGCTCCTCATTATAAGTATAGTAGAATATAGCCCAAAACACTATTCTAATTTTTAAGGCCCCTACACCCTAAACCCTTATAGTAGCCCTTATGGAACCCTTTAAGAAGCCCTTTAAAGGAACCCCAAACTCTGCCTTTTTCTCGGACTTTTGCTCAGGGACAGCCCTGGGCCTCACTCCAACTTTCCCTGAGGGACCGGATTTGCTTCTCGTGCATGGCGTCTGGTTGATTAGGGCTTAGGGGCCCTGAACCCTAAA